ATAGTCTATGATCAGCATTGATATTACTCTTAAAAGGTCTTTTTGGTATCCAATTTTGGCTAAATGCCTTTCTACTGTCCTATAGAACACATCTACACCTTTCAATGATAATCTCGTTAACAGGGTCCTTGTTGAAATAGAAGAATCTCAGCAGACAAATTAGACTAATGTTCTTGATATATTAGCTATAATTTTTTTAGATGACATTTCCTTCTACACGTTAAATCGTTCTAACTCATAAAATTTGATAAGGTTGTCGTATACAGTTGTGAAAAAAATTCCAGTATATTAATAGATTTCTTTAACCTTCTGAATATCCTAATTTTATAATTGTAAGATTGCTTAATAGTTAGTTTCTTATCTGAAGATTATCATTTTTAATTAATTGATTTTTAGGGTTTTTTTAAAAAATTGAAGATATTGAGAGGAGGAAATGAAAAAAAATTTTAATATTTAGTAATACAAAAAAAAAATTATATACACACTTACTTTATGATTATTTTTCTTTTTACATAGTTCAGATCGGACTTGATTTGGCTGAGATCTGCATCTTTTTATTTTTTAAAATAAATTTCGATTTTTTTTGTCTCACACTGTATATATAAATATTAAAAGAAAATTATCATATATATAAGTATAATTATATTATATAAAATAGCAGAAAGTTTATTTCACTTTATTTTCTGATATTATCCTTTAACTACTTTAGTATAAAAAGGTGATCCTATATTACATCCTCAATATATCATCAGGTAACTAAGTTAATAAAAAAAAGATAACCTATACATCATACTTTAATACTTTATTTAATAATTAAATTAATATAGTAGATCAGTACTTTCAGTATAAAATTTAACATCTAAACTAAAATAAAAGACTAATATCTCTACTAAAGAACTTAGCGACTAAATAATTTAAAAATAAGAAAAAAAGAGTAGTAATTAGATTAAAAAATAGCAGAGTTAAATTATAAAGTAATACTCATAACTAAATAACAATTTATATATGAATAGCAAAAAAGGTTTAAAGAAATAGCCAGAACATAAAAGAAATAACTAATAAAAAGAAAAAGAGAGGTTATAAGATAGCATTTAGACTATATCTATTAGATTATAAAGTGGTAGTTAGATTATAGGTATAAATTATATAATGATATTCAGATTATATAGTGGTAAATAAATTATAATATGGTAATCAGATTATAAAATAGTAATAAGATTATATAATTATAAAATAATATTATAACCTATCCTAAGTGGTATACTACTATATAAGATAATTATATTATATGGTAATATATTACTTTGTTAAAAAATAATTTAAATTATTGTTTTTTTAATTTTTTTTTTTTTTTAAAAAAAATTAAGATTGTAATTTATATAAATTTTAATACAAATTTACAGTTATAATATACTTACAAAAAATTTTTTATTTTTTAAATCAATCTATTATAATCTGATTTTAATAGCAATCAATTTATATTATATAATTATGCAAAAAAAAAAAAAAAAAATTAAATTAATATTCATATTTGACTTAAATAATTAAAATATGCATTATAAAATCAGTTGATTATAAATAATATATTTTTCTGAAATAATATTTCCTTTATATACTAAAAGCGCAGCAATTTTTGTTTAACTTAAATTGATGTAGTTCGCTGATTATCATCAATCAAATGACACATGTGACATTTCATTTATACAGTATTATATTGTATGACAATCCATTTTGTACAACTCAAGCCACATTTTAGAAGGATAAAAACGAAAAATTATAGAATTTTTTTTTTTTTTTTCCGGATTACACTTCTCAGAAAAACGTTTAGTACTCATAATAATAAACTTTTTTTTTAAAGTAAATTGCGGTCAAATTTAACCACTTTTAATTTTTTTCGTTTTTACAACTTTTAAGAGAAATAATTAACGATAACGGATCAAATAGGTACAAATTTATTCTCTGTTATTGAAAGAAAATTTTATTTAGTTTATTGTTCTTTTAAAACGATTTCGCTGTATTTTTGTTGACGTATATATGAATTTCTTATACCCTTTGTAGAAAACGATTCTTACATAGTTTAATAAAGATGGAAAGTAGCGAATATAGCAAATATGTAAATTTGCCATTTTATGGTGAAATGGACGATAGTATAATGAAGTCAAATGAAATAGATAGTATTTCAATGTCTCAATATATAAATGACTCCTCGAGAAATGATGTAGAGTCTCTTGGAGATTTAGATGTTAATTCATTTGATAATGGAAATCAGTTTACATCTGATACTCAGATTGCTTCAGAAGGATGGGACTCATCCACACATATAATTCATGAAAATGTTCAAAATAATAACCCACAATTAGCATTAATAAATCCTGTAGCGGCAGGTTCACAATACCTAACAGATTCAACCTTTATGGACCAACCTGGCCAGTCATTGAAAGTTCAACAGCAAGGTCATTCGTATGGAACGCGGTACGCAAATCAATTACGTCCGACACCCGGTATTGAACCTCGCAGAAGAAAAGTCCCAAAAGAAAAAAATGAACCAGAAGATAAGGGACCTTATTGTATTTGTCAAGGCCCATCTTATGGAACAATGATTATTTGTGATTTCTGCAACGAGTGGCAAGTTTTATTTCATAATAATAAAGATTACGAAGAAATTTTTTTATGTTGTAAAACTTAATGACCCAAATGTAAACGAATTAGAAATTAAAACCTTTTATGTAATTCATTATGTTATATCATTTGTATCATGTCAATATAATTATATAATACAGGTATCATATTAGGTGTGTGAATTTAACAAAACAACAAGCAAAAGAAATAGAA